TTTCGATTTTCGTAGCCATACTAACTTTATTTCGCTGGGTATATGTGTTATTATTTCCACTATTTAGCGCCAATATTGAATGTTTCGGTTATTCCGACGGTCTTCGACCGGCGTATTTAAATCAAAGCCGTCATTGGGGTAATCGTTAAATTTTCCCACCGACTCAGCTACTATGCTAATATCATATATGCACACAACTATTATTATATCATATAATCATACGAGGGTAGCTCTAAAAGTAATCGATCTGACTACATTTTCAACAGTTCGTTTAATGTGATAATTACAATGAAAATTATATTACATGGAAGAAACCGAGAGATCGAACCACAAACAAAAATCTCTATTCTTATCTGAAAACACTAATATTTACTAAAATGTTGTCAAAGTTTCATTACATTTCATCCAATCCTTCTCAATGTTACGTCTATGTTTGTTGAATGCAATGAAAAAACAGAATTTCGAATTTGGATCATGATAGGAAAAAACACCGATTGATGAAAAACAATGACTTGATAAGTGTTACTGCAAATCTGCTTAGCCATATTCAATGTAACAGTACTGATTTTGCTGAATTTCGTCCTAACCTTCCTTGTACAAGTGATATCGTGATATTCGAGTAGGCCACAAAAAGTAATTCCAACAAATATAACTCCAAAAATGGTGAAATGTTGTGATGTGGCCGTAAAATGGAACTGAACGAGGTAGATAACATCAATGGCATCTCTAAGTAACTCGTAGATAATATCATTCACGAATTTTTACAAATAACAAGAAAAAACATTAACTTCGGTTGCGCCGAAGCTATAATACCCTTCACAAATACAAAGGCCCCTTACAAGAACTTGATTCCGAACGCTCAATTTGTATGGCAGCTATATGATATAGTGATCTGATCTGACCAATTTCTGTGGAGAATAATTTGTTGCCTTAAGCAATAACTCGTGCCTAATTTCGTGAAGATACCTCGTCAAATAAAAAAATGTTCCATGCAAGCACTTTACTCCAATCGTTCAGTTAATATGGCAGCTATATGCTATAGTCATCCGATCTGAATAATTTCTTCAAAAATTACATTGTTGCCTCAAATAATAATCTATGCCAAATTTCGTGAAGATACCTCATCAAATGGAAGAGTTTCCCATACAAGCACTTGATTCCGATTGTTCAGTTTGTATGGCAGCTATATGCTATAGTCATCCGATCTATACAATTTCTTCGGGGATTGGATTAATGCCTTAAATAATAATACACGCCAAATTTCATGAAGATACCTCGTCAAATGAAAGAGTTTTCCATACAAACACTTGATTCCGATTGTTCAGTTTGTATGGCAGCTATATGCTATAGTGGTCCGATATAGACCGTTCCGACAAATGAGCAGCTTCTTTGTTAGAAAAGGACAGGTGCAAAATTTCAAATCGATAGCATAAAAACTGAGGGACTAGTTTGTATATATACAGACAGACGGACATAGCTAAATCAACTCAGCTCATTATGCTGATCATTTATGTATATATTTTATAGGGTCTCCGACGTTTCCTTTTGGGTGTTACAAACTTCGTGGCAAACTTAATTTTTTAACATGGTATGTTCAGGGTATAAAAAAGCCTCAGTCAGTCATTCAGCTTGTAATACTACCAATAACTTATTCGACATATTCGGCCAACCATTTTTTTCTCACATTCAAATAGTGGCTCTGTGGCAAAAGAGTTCACTCAAATGAGGAGGTCAAGGAGACCTCGAAGCTTCACATTATCGCACCGGTTTCGAAATATTTTAGGACCGCTACAACAAATGCATAATTATAGAAGAAGATTATGTCGAAGACTAATTTCTCAATCAAAAAACGTTATTTCATTCTTAACCCAAAAGCTTTTCCGCCCACGTAGTAAAAGATGAATGGATTTTGAATTCAGAAATAACTATTATCTAACTATTAAAGTTAGGAACTTCTTCCCAAAAATATATTTTTAGATTTTTTTGTTATTTCCATTCCAGTTACTGTATATCTGAGGCTGCCCTCGTATAAAAATAAGCATGCTGTTAAACAACAGCTGATAGTGAACTGATTTCAGCAGTTGTCATCTTATTATTTTCTATCAATATGTATCTGTGTGTACATTTGCAAATTTTGAAAAGCATTTACTCTAATTTCATTTACGAATTCACATGATCTTCTGCTCAACTTCGCACTTTATTCGAAACGTACCTCCATTTAGTCCGGCTATAAGTCACAACAGTGATTGCGAAACAGTATTGCCGCCATTAATCGTGAGTCATGCTTTTATGCCCAATTTACATTTTTGTACCTTCATGACGTCAAACGATTGGCATTGTTACACCGTTTGTTTTTTTTTCCTTTCTTAGTCTCTATTGTTTTGGAGCTTTTTATTTTTTCTCAATTTCATTTACTTTACTTTTTTTATCGCTTTATCGTTGAAAACTGATTTGGAAAAATCGAATCATTCATCTTTTACACTCTCGGTGTGTTGACCTATTTCTTATGGTGTTTTTATTTATTTTTTATTTTTATTTTTACTGTAAATCATTTGTTTTGGTTTTCTTCCATGCCGTGATGATTAGGTAATGTTTAATATGATGACTGCATATGGGTACATAAAGCATCGCAATATTTTGTTCCCGCTTTTGGAGATATTTGTCAATCATTATTTCCCTTTTAAATACAGTGAGCACATGGCGTTATAAATTTGAATTGTTTGATTTGCCAGATATGTGACTATCTTTAGGAAAGGTCTGCAGCAAAGACTTGTGCTTGCATAGGGTGTTTTCAGAGATTTTGAATTTATGTTAGATACACTTTGGCAAATTATGTAAAGACTTACAATGGAATATTAATCCAACGGTAAAGTCTATCATATTAAAATTTTCGAACTCCAAAACCATTCTTTGTGTATATCATTAATTTTGCTATACTTATTTTTCTACCCATACCACTAAAATAAGCATCCCTTATCTAAAACCACAAGGAATAATCTTTAAAGTCGACTTAAGGCGCAGGCAAGCTGTTTGGGATTGTATTCACGGTAATCAGGAGTAAATTATGTTGTGCTTAATAACCTATTTCTGAGAAAACATTTAGTTCAAAAAATATTTTTATCAAAGTTTATAACTTCTTTTAAGGGAAGTTTCAGTTTAAAATTATTTATTCGCATCAAACACTACTGGATGTCTAATAAGAAGTAATCAAAACCTTAGGTTGAAAAACTTTTTGAACAGAATTTGAAAATATTTAAAGCGGTAAATTAAGGTTGCCAACTATATAAATTAGTCTGTCTAGTTTCCACTTGACATTGAGATATCAATATAAAGTATATGAGTGAACTAGCCTCTCAGTTTTTTAAGATATTGGTCTGAAATTTTGCAAACATCCTTTTCTCACCAGAGACTGTTCATTTGTCGAAACCGCCAATATCAGACCGCCAAAACATATAGCTGCTATATAAACTAAACGATCGGAATTAATTGCTTCAATGAAATACTCTTTTATTTGTCAAGGTATCATCATGAAATTGGGCGTAAATTTTATCACTGCAGGCACTGCTACAATTTTCGAAAATAACATACAGGTTGATTGAAAAGTGAGTAGTGCTCACCAAGAAATGTCACTACTAGCTACAAATTGTTTTTTTCCAAGTTTTTCGATGTACCAACATCTGTCGTGAGAACACATGCAAAGTTGCAAGTCATTCTGCCAAGTATTCTTTGTTTACAAGCCATTTGAAGTTGACGTGTCAGGGTATTTTTTTAATATGGAAAAAATGGAGTATCTCGCAGTGATTAGATTCTTTGTTTTGAAAGGTTTAAAAGCAAAGGAATCTATGAAACATTGTTATGAAGTGTATAAGGAGTCTCCACCTTCAAAACGCAACGGGTGATCGTACTAGGCTTGAACACGATCCACGCGAAGGACGACCAAAAGCCGCAACCACAGCACAAATCATTAAGCAAATACATAATATTGTTAGTGAAGATCTAAGTTTGACTAAGCGTAAAATTGCTAATGCCATAGGCATCTCGGACGAACGAGTACTTCATATTTTACATGTAAAATTACGTATGAAAAAATCAGTTTTTTGGGATGCAAAAGAAATTTTATTGATTGATTATCTGCAGAATAGTAAAACAATCAACTCTGAATATTTAGCTGGATAGGATGAAAAAATTCGTGAGAAAAGACCTGGTTTGCAGCACAAAAAAAATATTTCTCATCAAGACAAAGCACCTGCTCACAAAGGTGTTTTAACAATGACAACATTCAACGAATTAAAGTACGGATTGCTTGAGCATCCACCGCATTCGCCAGATTTCGATTCCAGCGAATCTTACTTCTTCAGAAACCTGAAACAATACCTTCGTGGAAAGCGTTGAATGAATATGCTATTACAGCAGTAGACGGGTATTTTGCAGAGCTTCCGGAAAGTTATTATAGGGATGGCATAAAATTATTGGAGGATCATTAGAATAAGTGTTTGAAGTTAAGGCAGATTATATTGAATAAAAAAATATATTTCGAACCAAAAACAGTAGTTTTTCATTTCGAGAGCAGAAACTTTTCAACCACTATAGCTTGTATCTTCCATCTAAACTGATCGATCAATATCAGACTAAATTTCTTCTTATACCCTTTTATGTTTCGGTGTAAACGAAATGTACGTTTTCTCTTTCAAAGATATTATAATGCTACATAGCTGTAAAAAACCAATTGAAATATTGTATATGACAACATTTCCCTCGTTTGTAATCTAATCAAATATCAACACTTCCATAACATATTCTCAACTAAGTTAAATACATTTCTTTCAGAGCCACAATTTTAGGTTCCAACAAAATGCAAGCAGTTTGTATTGACAATATTTAAAATCTACAGGTTCTCCCAGAATTGTAGCTGATTTTTAAGTTTTCTCTTCCCTTTTTTTATAATTTTTTCCATTTAACTTAATTTCGATTAACCCATACAAACGGCAACATAAACTTACTCGCTGAATCTTACAAAATCACAAATTTTTAAATGCTCGAAATTTGGTTTTTATTTTGGTTATTTTGTTGATTGCATCAATTCGTCGCTGTTAAAATTTCATAAATTGTTATTGTGGCCGCATTTCCTTCCATTGTTCGCACATTATAAAACTGTGACTACTTGCATTCACCTTTTCGCTCATGTACTCTAGTTGATACTACTTGGTATACTATGTACTTTGCTTCCATCTTTCTCCACATTCTCCTTTCCCTTCAAAACGCACTGCATTGCTAGCTGTGTTGCCTGTGAATACACATTGCCATAGTTAAAAAACAAAACAAAAAAAAACAATACATGTTGCAGCCAAAACTAGTGAATTATATATACATATATATGTATTGTATTTACTGCTGATTTTTTACAACAACATTGTTTTATTGCCTGTACTAATCTGTTTGTTGTTTGCATACGTGTGAAGCTGACAACCGCGCAATCGGTAAAGCACCAAGATCCACTTGCAGAGAATTTATATGGACTTAAATTTTGAAGCAATTATTTATACTTTTAACATAAATGTGGTCATAAAAGTTGTAATATGCTTGTACTGCGTGAATTGCTTGATTTTAAGCCAAATTAGCTTGGTCTTCCCTTCTTTGTTTTGATTTAATTAAAAGATACACTGGTCCCATAGCTTATTTTGAAAATTTTGACAGATGTAGTCGTATATAAAGGGTGCAGAATTTAGATTTAAATTTATTGTTAAAAAAATATAGCAGAAAACTAAGAACAGCTACCGAATGGTCTATTTCTCCTAATAACAGGCGTCCAAAACAATCGTCGGATGTTCAGAGTTGGCAATTGGCTAAATATTCGTTTTCCATTAGCGACTGTTTTGTTCCCTTATCCTAAAAAATAAAATAAAAATAGTTAAATAGCAATTTTCAATTGCCAAACATACAAAGTTGGCAACATTCATAAACTGCGATCCGTTCTAATATTTTGGTTATTTCGAATGCCGTTACACCTGCATAAAAATTTATTTTAAATTTTGTAATTTTCCGGCACAGAGGAATTTACTGTTGTGACATCTTAACAATTTATGTGATTAACTGTGTATTAATTCACATCTGCGAGTTCTGCGTCCGTCAAATGTAAAATAAAGCCATTTTTATCAAAATTGCAAATTGAGTTATAAATATATAACTTTACTTTTTCTTAAATATTTTCAGTTTTTCAACAGTTTTCGCCTAGATTTTAAAATACTAAGAAATTGAATCATAATAAACTGGGCGTAAAGTATTACTAATAGTATTAAAAAATTTCAATATACATTTTCTAATTTTACTAGTATTTCCAGTAATAGTATCAATAAAACATAGCACAAATAGGCTATATCGACCTAGGGATTTATGCTGAAAATATTAGGCAGTTCGCAAGATATCTTCAAAAAATGAACTGAGCCTGTTTATCTGATCTAATTCTGTACGGTACTAGAAATTGATTAAATCAGTTCAGTATTTTACACAGTTCTCATATAACAAACCAATTTTTTTGTTATTCTAATTAACTTTTTGCCAAATATATTAGTTAATATGTAAGATAAAATAAGGGAACACGTTATTTCAACGAACTTGGTTAGTCGTTGAGTTATCTCAACAAATCCAGATTACACAATTAATGAGGTCTAGCTACCTATATAATATGTTAACAAGATACCAAATATAGTTGTAATAGGGGTATTCACACCAGCTTTCTCAATTCGTTAGTCGGTAGTTTTTTTAAAAGATTATCGTTCTACCGAGTAACGAAGTGCCAGTCCGGAAAGCTTATTAATTTTTTCGTTACTTGGTAACACCAAATCAGCTGTTTGTTTTGCTCCGTTGCTTAAAAAGGTCATTTGATTCATTGCGAAAAAATATGTACATTTGCTGCTCGCTACAAGATACTTTTAGACGAATGTTTGCAATTCTAATTATTTCTTCAACAAAATCTTTACATTTGATTTCATTAGAAACTTTTTTTCTGTGGAGTTACAAAAGAAAAGCCATAAAAGGAAATGAATGAGGAATAAAACAAAAAACAAAAGGTTTAAATATTAGTTAGAAAATGTGGATCGTCACCAATCCCAAAATTTGACGCAATTTTTCGTATCTATGGTATGCATTTTCTCCAGAGGAGACCAATCTATATAGAACGACAGCTGGGTGTATATCAATTGGGACAGTAAATTGAATTCGTCTACACACCACGGAATTGACTTTGAAACAATATTTTCTACATCTCTACGACAGTTTAGTGGAATGAGCAAGTCATCATACATCTCGTCATTGTTATCCTCCACTCCACCAAATCTTCATTCTCACTCCTCTGCACATCAATTTTTAGTACATACCAGTAATAAATTTGATCTCCTTCAAGAATTTTCAATTAAATTACTGACAATTTTTGATTTTGCACTTTATTGAGACATTTTTACTTTGTAATAAAATTGAATCTGCTATTTTAGAACAAAATTTACTACCTTACTGAGATTGAGCAAAAAGTGTTTCAACGAAGTATCAACTAACGAATTACCAGATTAACATGTTTAGTGTAAATACCCCTAATATATGTATTCACAATTACGAATTAGCCGATATTAGATCTTCATGTGGAATGTATATAACAAGATCCGTACAATATTTGTTAATATAATTTTTATATGTTACCTTGCCATTAAAAAAGTCTAAATGTAACATATTTCATACAAACTAAACTTAAATGAGTTAGGAGCTGTCCGTAAAAAGTTAAATTAATATTGTTCTGCAAGTGGATATTCGTATGCTATCTACAGGCTCCTGTTGGAAGTTGAAGTAACGTATTCAATCGGATACGGTGTTCTACATTAAGCCCCACTATATATGTTTGTAATACATACTTGTACGTACATACAGTGAAAAAACGTGTATAAAGAGATGTTTTGTCTTTGGAGGGCCTTTTTTTATACTATTTCAGCTTTTAAGCTGCAACTAAAAGTAACAATATGAAAATCTTATGAATTTTTCGTGTTTTAAAAAAGTTTTAACAAATTATCAAAAAATTATTATACCTAACTTTTAAGCAGCAAAAAAACTTCTACCCTTGCGTTGGCAACAGTTTAAATGCAGCTGTCAAGTATGTGCCTTTATTTTTGTCTGGTATTATTTGCGTATGGTCAAAATTTGGTAAGCGAACTTCTTTTGTGCGGCTGTAGTTTTTGAAGAAAAAATGAGGAATATACACATATCTTAAGATTTACAGGCCCTGGTAGTCAAATATTGGCAAGAGAAAAAAGTACTTGCAAAATATCCAATATTTTCAAAAAGCATCTATTGTTCAGTACATTATTGCTAAATTCAAAAAGACTGCTAGAGTTGGAAGACTTGTTGGTAGTTGAACGCCCAAAAAAATTAACACGCCTCAGGCTGAAAGTAAAGTTGCTTGGAGTATCAAGGAAAACCACAAAATATCCGCCAAGGAGTTGACATTACCAAACTCCACCTTCAAAATATTCGGAACTTCTTGCTTTCACCCGGTTTTTATTCGTATACACCACGAAACAAGCCACAATTATCGGATAGAAATATTGCGAAACGTTTACTATATTTCAAAGCCTATATCCACCATGATAACGAATTTTGTGATTCTATAATTTTATGAGTCCAATAGTAATTCATTTGGATCTGATGGTCGTCAATTTGTATGACGTAAGGGCTAAGCACTAAAAGATAAAAATTAAATAAGACTGTCAGCAAGGAGGAGACTACACTGTGGGATGCAATATTAAAAAATAATTTGGCGCCGTCAACAGCTAAGCTCAATTAAAATGGTGGCTACTGTTTTATTCTGGATAACGAAAATGGTGGTTAAGAAATGGTTGTTGTAGAACGTGAAAATGTGCTGATACATCCTCCCCAGAGTCCAGACCTCTCATTGAACGCCTGTTTGCCTATATGGAGACGAAGTTACGATCGCAAAGTTAATAAGAAAAATGAGGTTAAGGCTGCTCTTCCAGATATATGGATAAATATACCACCTGAACTAACACAAATTTGAGGCATTATATGAATAAAAGACTGTAAACCACAATAGAGGGCAAAGGTGTGCATACAATGTATTGATTTTCCTTAAAGAATGTTAAAATGTCAATTTATGCAAACTGTACAGTCTTATTTTGGATTTTTTAATTTTTTGGAGAAAACTTTATTTTTAAAAATGAATTTCATTAACATGATGAAAATTAATAAAACGGCCTCTTTCTCACTTATGAACGCAACTCAAAAGTTTTAATAGTTTAGGTGAAAATCACTTCAAAGTCAAACCATCTCCCTGTACAAGTCTTTTTTTTTTTTTGGTTTACTGTATGTAGTACATAGCACACGTATAGAAAAAAATATATGTATATTTTGGTTTTGAAATCACGAGACCATTTGTGATATTTGTTCGAACATATAGCTAGTGTGTGATAGATTAGTCTACATATATTAGAATAAATTCAATATTATTTGTAAGCTCGGAAATCGACTATTTTACTTCTAAGAAGTATATCTTTATCAACTGCCTTCTTTTATTTACTTAAATCAATCATTGATCGAACAATAATCATAGATATTCGAAAATGCGTTCGGCAGTAACTAATGCGACCTCTAAGTATTCGCAGAAATCATGCAGGCAAACTACCGTAAGTTGCTAAGCAAAGGCCTCGGTACAAACTCGCCTAATTCACTTGGAAGCTCCTCATGACGTCACTGTCTAGAGAGTGCATGCCTCAGCAAAAAAAAACCATGTCTTTGAGAGCCAACAACGAGGAATTGTTAAGGGCTTTAAATGTGCAGAAACTAACCAATTGTCTTTGTTACTGATTTTGCTTTAGCCGTCTGTACGTTTAAACGCCGTCAAGTTGTATCTTTTTTTGGAAATGTTTTGTCTCTTCGCAGTTTTACTCACTAAGCTTACCGGTATATTGTGCCGCAACTGCGCTCTGCCAGCCGACAACGGACGGTAGCGGTATAAAATGTTGTGTGAGGTCCAAAACAAAGTCAGTCAAGCAGCCAACACCAGCAAAGCGCACAGCGCGATCAACAGAAAAGTTGCCAAGGATTACCTTTTTCATTTTGTGAATTATTACGTAAGGATACAAATAACAGTATTGTGGCCAAATTGATCATTTACGAGTGTTAAGTGTTATTTATTTTCATTTTGAAAACAAATTAAGGCGAAACAAGCAGAAAGGTGAGTTTGGCAGAAAGGAAAAAGCAAAAGTTTGAAAACCAAAAACAAAAACTTTACGAAATTATGAAATGTGTAGAACAGCTAAAAAGCGTTAATGACAACAGTGAAGGTAAAAAGTGTAGCAATAGCTAAAAAATAAGTATGTACGAAAGGCGTGTCACTCAACCCTGAACCCATATGCATGTATATACAATACTTGTATATAAGCCTGGCGGAAATTTTGAAAAAAAAATTTTAATATAATATAATATTTAATTTTATTATAAAAAAACAAACAAATAACAGTGTACAAGCAATCGCAAAACTTCCGTTTGTCCCGCAATTATTAAAAAATTACGCTAAAGTGCAAACGACGTTGCAAAAAATTTGTGGTTGCCATTGAACTGAAAATTACTCGCACTTGTTGCATGGCGACTGGCTGCGAATTCACAAAAAAGCATAAATAAGCCCGTGTGAAATGCGAAATTAATGTGCATAAATTTGTATTATGCATTTTGATCACTATTGAGGAGAGAGATAAACGAAAGACCAACTAAGGAAATGCAAACTGCCAGCATCTACGCACTATAGTATAGGTTTAATGAACTAAACAATGAATAAGTTGGGAAAAATATTTTGGTATATTTTGCTTTTTTATCGGCAGCCAAAATGAAATTATGAAATTTATGGACACAGATGTCACAATTTGACATAAAAAGACTCAAAAAGTTTTATTTGTCCAAGTGATTAGTAAAAATACATATATGATTTTTATTCAAATTTCAACTCTAAATGAAGTATTGTTACGTCTCAAAGGCATAGTAAAAATATTATCTCTTTACTTTTTTTTGAAAATGTTTTAAGAAAACTGATTGAATTTGATGAGATTTGGTTTAAAGTAAAAAGGGACAGTTTTAAATGCACCGAAAAATTTAACCTTAGCCATACGCCAGGACATTTATTGTTTTCAAATGCTTTATTTTAATCCTTAAACTGAAATAAATTGTTTAGTGTTTTTTTTATTTCAATATCATTCCGAAAATAAACTAAGCAACTCTGACATATACTCTACCAAATTATAAATGTGTAGCATAAAAATCTTAAAGTACTAACCAAAACCTCCTCAGCAATTAACCCAACTTTCTTCAGAGATAAAAATATCTCTCAGTTATGCTGCGAATATTAATCTTCAAAAAAGATTTTAAGATATTTGATTTATAAAATTTAAATTTCTAAAATTCTAACAATAATTTTCACTTAAGAAGTCATTATGGTCGCCATTTGGTCATATCGAGAAGGTTACAGCGTGTTTGAATATAACTTTAAAATGTTTTCAAAAATGCTACATAACAAATTTATCATTTTTAATATTTTATTTAGCAATATTTTAAACATTATAAAAGAAAGCAATTAATAAGTCAAAAAGTATTGTGGGGTTAAGCAATTTTGAAACACGAAATTTTTCAATGATACCAACTTATCCATCGTCCCTGTAACGTTCTAAAAAGAATTAAAAAATGTTTTTAAATTCTATTCGCAAAAATACCGTTTCAAGTCAAAATTGTAAGTTTTATGTAGCTAATGCATTTTTAAATGTAAAAGCACAAAATTTTTCTAAATATTTTATTTCAACTTAAATCGTGCATATTAAACGCAATTCGAAATTCAAAATAACTAAACTCCCAACATGCAACTTTGCAAGCAACATATACTCACATAAGCGAAATTTTCAAACCGTAACGGGCCACTCACCGGATCCAGCGCCTATTCAATATTTCCATAAATTGTTTTCGCAAAATAAGCCGTTATATATGCAACATATATGTATATGTACGTATATGTATGTATAACGGATGCGATTGCATAATAAAGTGAAAAACAAAAGTAAAAACTCAAATAAAAGCATACAGACAACGAACTATTAAAACGATGCTTAAAATTCAGCTTTACACATGCACACTTACAACACACAGTCAATATTCAAGCAGTTTTTTGTAAGCATCCGTAACATTTTTCGCTCCAGAAGACATAATTAAATCTCAAACCCACACACAACAAAAGCAACAACGGACAGCTGTTTGATACCTTGAACCCCCACACTCACGCCTTACTCGCACACACACTTGTACATTTGCCCATTGCATAACAACACCAAAAAACAACAAGCTAAATTGTCAAGCAACATAAGTCATCCAGGTCTCCGACGCATTCAAGTAAGACATAAGTAAAGGTCTTACACAAAAGCAACAACGAGGCCAAGCGAAAAGTCACGACTTCTCCCCTATGCCATTTCCTCTGCTTGACGGGCACAGCGTTCATTCACTGATTTGCTCTGACGCTTGTAACACCGGTCACACTGCGTTGCATTTAAGGAGTTAATCCACAAATCACACGTAACCCTCATTGTTTGTATATCTGTTTCGCAAAAAAAAGTTTATGTTTTCTTTTCTTATTATGCAAATAAGTTCCCGAGCCAAGCCTAAGCGCTTACATCAGCCCGAGTGTGTGAAACGCTTCCTCCGCGTCGAGGTTAAGCTACAAGTAAATAAAATACACATGAAATGCACAACAGCGCCTTCGCACCTGGAGTACATCCGCACTCCACTTTTGCGACTTGCAACATCACACCAGTTAGCTGCCCTGGCGATTGTTAATTTCTGTTATTGTTGTTTTTGTGTTTCTTTTTTCATTTCAAGCTAACGACCTTAAAACGAAAGTAAAAGTCTTTCGCGCCTTGCTTCGTCCACAGCGCGCTCAAGCAACGGCCAGCTCAAGCGTGACTCACTTCCAGCGCTGAGCTCACAGCGCTATGCTCTCCGGCACAACGTCAAAGAGTCAGCAAACCGGTTGCTGGCAATTGCCGAAATGATTGTACAATATTCATTGTTGATCTTTACGAAAGCGCAGCAATAACAGCAACAGCGGCAGCTGCAAAGTGGCACAATGACCACAAATCTGTCTAGCGCCATCTTTAATATTTAGGTTAATTAACACACTACACGCACGGTAAACGCGTGAGCAGAGAAAGAGTAGTATAAAATCATTGAACTTGCGAAACATTTGAGTTGTTACCTCATTGCTGTTTGCCGCAATCACTAATCACGCGTTTATTTATTTTTTTTACCCTTTTGCAGCACAGACGCCTGTATTATGAGATTAACACATCATTTGGCTGTTATAGCCGCCATACTCTTGGCAGGCTCTTCTCTCATCAATGCTGAGGAATCAGCTTGGGGTGGCAGCTGGGAACCCTCGAAGGAGTCAATGCTCAGCAGACGCTCCACGGAGTCTGAGAAATCAGATGACGCCGCTGTACAGCCCGCAAATGTACAGGGTCGCAATTATGGTGTGCATGAAGCGATCTACAGCAACGACACGAATACCGACATCAATGCCATTATCGATCAGATTATCAATTCGCGTCGCGAAGGTCGTATTTTAGGTGACTACGACCAAGTGTATGCCGATGGTAATATCGATCAAGCGCTGCAACAAGGTGACGATTTGCAAGCGCGCAATCTTATACGCGATAAGCTTTGCGGTCTGGGTTTAATGAACTGTGATGTTGAAGAGAAACGTCCTTACTACTCAACAATATATGCACAAGGTCCACCACCATCTTCATTTGGCGGCGGTCCATATGGACCTGCCAGACCTATGCCACCACCCGGTCATTTCAATAGCCGTCCTCCACCACCACCATCGTCTTTAAACTCTTTTGGACCACCACGTAAGGTAGGTTACGAAGGCGCTTACAAACCACCTTTCCGCCCTTCGGGTCCTGGCGGTCCCGTATATAATGGTCCGTATTTGGAAAATCCACCACCATCTGCAATTGGTACCACAGGTCCAAATACCTTTAACAAACCTCCGCCCGGCGCTATCATTTATGGCAGTAAACCACCAGGTCCAGTGTACAATGGCAATTCCGATTCCCCACCACCGCCATATGCCTTTGAGAACCCCATCGGTGAGAAAATTCAGATATCTGGTTCTTCACCAACAAATTTCTATGCCCACCAATCATCTTCGGCCTCATCTGCTTCTTCTTCGTCTTCGAAAGTAGTTGTAGGTAATTTGAATGCTATACCAGGATCAGCGCCTGCCGGTGGCTTGCAGCAGCATGTGCACCACCATTTCCACCATGTCGAAGGCGGTGATGCTAGTGCTAAGGTGCCTACAGTGCCCATACCAATTGGTGTTGGCCAATCGATTAACACCGACTTTTCAGCACTTGCGCAATCATCGGCTTCGTTCACACCACAAACACAAGGTGGGTTCACCGAATCGAATGCATTTAATGCCGGTTACAACGGTGCTTCACAAGGTGGTTTACTCTCCCAAGCGACAGCTAACGGATTCGGCAACTACGAGAAACCCAACACTGACCTTTACAAACCTGTAGGAGGTTTAGGTAGCTTTGGCAATGCTGGCGTACAAGGAATTTACGATCAATCTGGTATATCTGGTGGTCAAGGTGGTATTTATGAGCAAAATGCTGGCGCTAGTGGTTTCGGACAGAGTGGATTTGCACAATCAACCAATTTCGGACAATCCAACAACTTCGGTCAGGCCAGCAGCAGCTACCACAGCCAAAATCCCGAATATTATAAGAAAGAATTACAAAACTTTGGCGGCATTGGTACTTCGGGCGGTTTTAACGGCATCGGCAACAATTTGGGTGGTCAATACCAAAGTGGATATGATACGTCACGTCAACAAATTGTGGATTGCCAGTGTGTGCCATTTAATCAATGTCCTGCTGCCGATCGGATCGGACGTAAAGAAGATCTGATTTTGGCTATCGATCCTCGTAATTTAGGTAAAGACATTGAAGCTTTAGGTGACGAAACTGCAACAAATGCGACCGTCAGCGCAACCGAGGATAAAAAGGAAGAAAAGAAAGATGAAGAGAGTAAACGCAGAAAACGTCAGGCGAATGCTGAGGATAAGCAGTCCGATGATGGTGTAGCCGATCTACCACTGGATGCTGAAGGGGTAAGTTTAACAAAAACCCCTATTTTACTAATTTCTTTATGTTGTTTTGATAATTGTAACCCGATTAATTTCGTTTATAAACAATCGCAAAAATAAACCAAAAATGTATAACAAACTAATTGGCAGCACAGGTAATAGCCGCATCACTCTACTACGTTCCACAAGCACACTCACGAACCACATTACGCGTTGCGTGATACACGTCCCCAGCAGCCCAACCAGCCGACTTACAATAATATAATATATGTAGGTAATTCAAATTGGACGCAAACAAAGCGGATATCTGGAGTCTTTTTAAAATGAATAAAATAAAATTTTGGGGTTTCAACATTCCTTGACTCAATGTAACTAATCACACTAAAAACTCTCCATCTCTAACTGCACTGCCAAACCATTCATTCCATTCGGTTTCAAGTCGCACGCATACTAGCATGCCAAAAGCCTTACACACGCGCCATCCGCTCTAAACTTCTTATCATTTTACTCATTTCCTATTTTTCACTTATCCCTCCCAAAACATCTACCATGTATAGCGCACTGGCATACCCGATCTGGCAGCCATCGAGCTCATAAAGCGTAAAATTCTTCCCACATATGGTGTATCATTTGGATTGCCATATCCCACCGGTGGTGGTGGTTATCCCGCAAATCCACAAGGCGACTTTTATCCAGCACCGAATCCGCACTTCGGTTCAATTGGACCGAATGGCTTGAATTTAGGTCTTCTAAATGTTAATCCATTGGTCTCTGTACAGGTCAGCAAAACCGAGTTTGGAGATAAAGTCGTAAAGCCACTAGTTAATCTTCATGTCACACCAAATGCCAACATTTTTCAAAAAGTCAGTGAATTGTTTAAGTCAAAGCCTGAATACATTCACAACGCACATTATCATCATCACGATCATTATAGTAATTTTGAGCATGATCATCACTCACATCCGCATGATGTTACCGCGCCTGGCCCCATATATGGCGCCCCTCTGCATAGTACCACTATCCTCGATGTGGTGCCAAGCAAACCGATTTACGAGCATCACAGCACTGTAACTGCGCCGGCAAGCACTATATTTAATACCGGGTTCCTCCCCCAACAGCAACATTTTGCTACGCAGCATACATCTTTTGGCACAACATCCATAGCGAACTTATATCATGGTCCTTCTGGCATAGCTGGAGATACGTCTTATCCAACCAACGAACATTTCGGAGGTTCGATTTCGAGCGGTTTCGGTGCTAATGGCCACGGCTCCGTTCATTTTGGCGGTTCAATTCCAAGTGGGCCCGACGCTAGTAACCACGGCTCCGCTCATTTTGGCGGACCGCCTCCCAGTGGATTTGGTGTAAGCGGTCATGGTGTGAATTATTATGGGGGCGCCTCTTCGCAGCCTGGTTACTCAATCGGCTTTGGCTCAAGCGGTCACGGTGGTGAGATTTTCGCTGGTGAGCATTACAACGAATACGAAGAACGTAGTTCCAATCGCAGCGTGGCATTTAGGGGGCCAGTTCAGCACAGTAGTAAGCAACATCACTTGAATGCATTGAAAAATCGAAGAGGTAAAAGCCTGCTATATAATCAAAGCTTACGACCAATACCCACACAAGCGCCTGGTGCGGCTGAAGGGAGTGACTATGTGACATTTCCACGCAATCGACGACGTCGCGATGTGGTTGAACATGAGGAAGCTGCGGAACGTAGAGAAAGTGTATTGGCACGAACGGTAAATACAGAACAGGTAAAAGCGTGAATCCGACACGAGAATGTTAGGGGCAGAGACTAAATCAATTAAATAGATATATTTGTGTGTTTGTTGTGTCATATATGTATACTAATCAGTTTACTTTATCCCTAGCGCGCTTATTATGGCAATCGTCCAGTTGAGAAGACTTGCCGCGTCAACGAAGTCTGCTGCCGCCGTCCATTACGTCCAGCGCCACAACAACAACTGGGCCGTTGTGGCACACGCAATGCTGCTGGCATCACTGGCCGCATCAAGAACCCATCATACATCGATGGCGACAGTGAGTTCGGCGAATATCCATGGCACGTGGCCATCTTAAAGAAGGACCCTAAGGAATCGATTTATGCTTGCGGCGGCACACTGATCGATGCACAACACGTAATCACTGCAGCTCATTGCATCAAATCGTAAGCTTGGCTAAATATTCACAAGCCTTCATATTTATTTAACCACTTTTTCTTCTGCAAACAATAGGCAAAATGGTTTCGACTTGCGTGCTCGTCTAGGTGAATGGGATGTTAACCATGATGTCGAATTCTTTCCATACATCGAACGTGATGTGGTCTCAGTACATATTCATCCCGAATACTACGCTGGTACTTTGGACAATGATTTGGCCATACTGAAACTAGATCATCCCGTGGACTTCACTAAAAACCCACATATCAGTCCAGCTTGTTTACCTGACAAATTTTCCGACTTCACCGGCTCTCGTTGCTGGACCACTGGGTGGGGTAAAGATGCTTTCGGCGATCACGGCAAATACCAGAATATCCTGAAGGAGGTCGATGTTCCAATCTTGTCTCATCACCAATGCGAATCGCAATTGCGTCAAACACGTCTCGGCTACAGTTACAAACTCAATCCCGGTTTCGTTTGCGCTGGTGGCGAAGAGGGCAAGGATGCATGCAAAGGTGACGGTGGCGGTCCATTGGTATGCGAACGTAACGGCATCTGGAATGTGGTCGGTGTTGTGTCCTGGGGCATCGGTTGCGGTCAAGCCAATGTGCCTGGTGTGTATGTGCGCGTTTCGCACTACTTGGACTGGATTCGCCAAATTACGCAATACTATAAATGAGTAGTGGAACCAGCGGCGACGACGCCTGTGCGGGCAACCGCAACAGCCTATCACAGCTGTCAGTCACAATACCGAGATGTGTTCCACTTTCACTTTCGATAAGCCATTATTTTGAGTAATACGACGAGTATAAGTACATATATGATAATGAAGTTATTTATTTTTGTTAGTGTTGTAAGTGTAGGCACATAAGTATTTAAGTGCTCTCCAGTGCGACTGCTTGTTTTTGTCAATTATTGTTTTTGTTTTTCTTTATGTGTAAATATTTATTGCCTTCTACTACTTTTGTTAAATTATTTGATTGTTCGCCTTAGTCTTTTGCGCGAAATAAGATTGCTGCGTCCACTTTTTAACATGTTTAAATTATTATAATGAACTACTTTTACGACACACGATTGTCAACTTTTATAAAACTTTAATAAAACAAAATATTTATAATAAATTTATATGAACTGTGATTATTGAGGCCTCATGGAGAAATGCTGAAATTTCGAAAACTTCTCAAGAATTGGTATAAGCTCTCGCCTTTAGAAGCTCTCTTTCTAGATCCATGAATAAAATATGTAATTAGATAGAACCGCGAAATATTAATAAAGAAGTCAGTTCGGGAACAACCCTAATACCAGTAATGAAGGAACGTTTTTGAATGAAAATACGTTTTCATCATTCGGCATAATCTCCATTTAAAGACATGGACTTTTTGTAGCGATCCTCCTACATTTTGGTAACGGTTCGGTGATGTGAAGCTTCGAGGCCCTCAACATTCCATCTTGACTAATCCTTAGCATAATCCCTTAAATTTTTCTGTCGTATCAACAATTGAATAATCCGTGTGGCTTATTTGTAACAAATTATATATGATTTTATTTATTCGTTCCTTTGAGATGCCAATAAAGTTCATCATTGCATTTTACTATCACCCGACAAAATTACTTTTTGAAGAAGTTGGGCCGTATGTCAGCAATAACACACCGAATATTCTCTTCCAAGGCGTCAATTAGATTCTTGAAGGCCACGACGCGAGCTACTGCGCTTACTAAAAGTTTTCTTCAATAAATTGATTGTTTCGTTGGCTGTATGGCATGTAGCGCCGTCTTCCTGCAACCAAGGTCTACATCAACATCTTCCAATTCAAACACGAAAATGTCATTAATCATGGCTCTATAGCGTTTTCTATTGCCTGTAACATTATAGTCGGCTTCATTTTTGAATAAACATAAACCAATTATTCCTTCTGCCCACAGAACACACCAAAAAGTATTTGAGAATTTTAAGGGGTCTCAACAATGGCTTGTGAATTATCATCATCATATATCGCTGAACAAAATTTTCTTATGAAAATCGGGATCGGTGACGATTTCGTGTTGGGCCCATTCGCCGAACGTACGGCTTTAATTCTTGATGGTCTTTCGGTTTTTATTCTTGATGGTCCTTTGGCTTTTAATCTTGATGGTCTTTCAGCTTTAATTCTGGCACGAGTTGGTTTTTGTAAGCATTCAAACCAAAATCCTTCCGGTAAATCGGCCATAAAGTGGAGGTTCGCAGCTCGAATTATTGCGCGAGTCTTCTTCGGCACTCTGCACCACAGTAGCAATAGCGCCGTTGGTGCGCACTGTGAGGCATGTATGAGGATGCGCATTATCCACTAGAGTAAAACTGGTACGAAACCATTCCATGTTTTCTCGAATTACCGACTTTGCTAGGCGATTGTATTGACCGAATATTGGATGCGTCACGCGAACCGAAAGAATATTTTGGTAATAACTTTGCTTGCAAATAATGCAATGTCTTATCCCGGGGTAAGTCTGTTCATTATGAAATGCAAACCATACTGAGTAAAAAATCAAGTAACAGCTGTCAAAAAGTGCAACTCCTAAAAAAGTATTACCTCGTTGAATACCACACATCTAAAATAAAATAAAAGTACATGGATTTGAATAAAAATATAAAAAATTAAAGAAATGTCTCCAATAATAACACCTTTTGGTGTGTTTCTAAAAATTTTTAGGACAGCATAATTGAATATTAAATACTGTTATAAATTGTAACTATTGAAAAGAATACAAAATTCACTTTCGCGTTACAGATCTCGAAGAGTAGTTGTAGTAAAAACGTTCTAATGGAAGTTAAGTGTAAAAAATACTCAGCCCCTTAGGGCTTAACTATGATAACTTGATTAAAATTTTAGACATGTTGATGAAACTTGGTGCATGTATCTTTGCAACTCTGAGCGGATGGTATCATTAACCGGTGTTATTCGCGAAAAAATAGATAGGGAAATTGAATTACGTTTTAAAATGTTCGAAAAGTGGGCGTGATTTATAACCATATTATATGTTATAATTACTGATACAAACAATTACTTACTGATACAAAATGCGCACATCTACCGAATACGGTTTACTTTCGAAACTACCAAAAAACAGTAGATATATTGAATTCCGTCAAAATATTTTAGATAAGCTGAGATACCTCTGATATGTGGCACCCATCATCTTAAAATTTCTTTTCTAGCACCCATAAACTGAACTATAGTTGACTTTAAACCGAAAATATCAGTGATGTTTTATGAACTTCAATATGGTTTCCTCATAAAAATCGGTTCACATCATCTCCCAGCCCTGATTGGCTTTATAAGCTATATAAGGTGAAAACGAACATGATTTCTTCAGTTTAGAATAATTGGCGCCAAAAATAGATGATGATGCATATTAAGCAAAATATCTTAAAGAAAAATTCGTAACATCGTAGGGTAACTCGAAACCGAATATACGTATATAAGTTCTAATCATCCATAAGACTACCCGTAACTATTTAATATGAGTTAAAGGTATACGAAGAATAACAATCGAGAACGAGTTTCTCAAACCGCATTAACGGATATAACGGAGCTCAACTCTTTCGAATGTCAAATACGTGTTGCTAAGTTCTGACCTTGAAGTTTAGGTTTTCTAGTAGAATTAGATCACTGTACAGCGGAACAGGAACTAAAAATAATATTTTGTGAATTTAACAAAAATATTATATAACCTAATATTTACGACCAACAAAGCAGATGGTGCCTGGTTGCATCTCTTTATGATTTTATTGGCGTTGAAATTATTAGCGCTTGCAAAATTTACGGCTTTTGATTGCTTTTCTCAATATTTTATACTGCGCTTTTTTTAACTGACCATATGCAACAGCTCATTAAATTTCTTTTACTATTTTTAATCGCAACACAACCTCACCTGAGCACATATGCTCGTAATACCTAAGCAGCAGCAAGCGTGATAAATGCCAGTTGGAAATTTCACTTCCTCAAAAGCGCTTTATGCCACAATGTGTGGTCTAAACTAAGCGAAATGAGTGTAGTAAAACTGAAATTTTCAAGTAAAAAGAATAATCGCGTTCACTAAGTACCTTTGTGAAAAGTAAGAGTACAAAGTAATGAGCACACACACGCACACTCACACCTGCACATATTTGCTTGGCCAGTGCCGCATTGCTTTACACCTATGTAGTAAGCAAGCGGCCAACTAATAAACTTGGCAACAAACAAAGTTGCTGCTGTTGGACAAAATTGCGTTCATACCGCATTTTGTTGCCGTTACAAGTGACTGCACGCCGCCGCCGACGCTGCCCGACCCCTAGCAACATGTGCCACAAGAAATTCCTTATGTGTTTGATTATGTATGCGCGTATTGTTTTTGCAGGTGTTTACAAAGCATTTGCTGTGTATAAAATCAATGCACAGGATATTCAAATGCTCATAACTGAATTTGCAGCAAACATGATCAAGTGCAACATAGCAAACACGCTCGCTGTGCCGCTACTAATATTGGGTAGGTATTCAAATATTTACAAACTCTCTGACTCTGGCTTCGTGTTTCTTTGCACAGCGCTCAGTTGTTCCACCACAATTGGACGTCTTAATAAACGCAGTGGCTATATCTACAAGCAGCCTTCTGGACCGCCACAAGCGCCAGCACATGGATTTTACGAGAACAGCAACTCACTTCATCCACATGAGCTGCCATCAGGTCCGTCTCTTGAGGCACACAGCGGTCCTTATTACGAATACAAGCAATCACTGCCCAGTGTGCATTCGCATGGTGGCGGCGGTGGCAGTAAGAGCGTTGGTGGCAAATCTGGCTACAGCATTGGCAGTGGCTTGCGCTCCATCGCGCAAGGATCGGCCAATCAGGCATACACCGCGGTAGCCAATCAACACGCCGCCGCCAAGCAGGCTGCTTTCATAGCCAAAAACACTTTGGCACAGGCGGCATCGCAAGCAGCTGCTACTGCGCAGGCAGCGCTGGCCGGTAAAAAGGTGATTTTGCAGGAGTTGGAGCAACAGGCAGCGGAATCTCAACGCTCGCTATCGCGCGAGCTGGAGCAATTGAAATCTGCTAAGATCGCGGCGCAGTTGGCACAGCAAACAGCGCAGTCTGCCAATCATCATGTTTCTGTGCTGATAGCGGCAGTGAATAATGCGAAATCGCTAGCCGAACAGGCTGAGCAAGCGACAAGTGAGGTGGATAATCAGTTGGCTTCACAATCGTCAATGGTCGGTCAGGCAAAAAGTCGCGTGGAGCAAGTGGAGGAGCAGCTGAAGCAGGCCCGTATCGATTACGAGGCAACCAAGGAGGCGACATTGAAAGCCGCATCTTCTGCCGCCGAAGCTCAGGTGAATGCATCTAAGGCGGCTGCCCACGCCACCATCGGTTTGCACGAGAGCACCAATCACAATCCGCCTAGTGCTGAAGGAGATGACTCATCATATGACATTGAAACCACTGCACATGGCCAAGAAATACAGTATGAAGCACATAACGAGCATAGGCAATAATGATGGTATAGGAGGGCATGGGACCTTGGGCTAAACATTTCTGGATTAAAACAAAAATAAATAATATCAAGATAGCAAGATCTAGTTTTTATTTCAACGGTTGGTGGACAAAATCAAGGAACATGTTAAAATGAGATGTTGAGAGTTCACTTAAGCCACAATGAAAGAACGAGAAAGATGACAATTCGCATACTTACGGCTATTTGGTTCGTCAACGTTGGGTATTGTGTAAGATTTTCTTAAAATACAGCGGATTCGCTTAAAAGCGAAATCTCCATATCTGAATGTATTCAATGCGGCCAAAAAACCCCGTAGAAAAGTTTTGACAAAGTGAAATAAACTTGACAGGTAAGCGTTTTACGAATAAGTCAAAGTTTGATGTAGAAGCAGGGCTACCGAGAGAAAAACCCGACCAAGGGGTAAAAAAGGTTCAGGGCCTCTACCTACATGAATGTTTCTAATATTTTATAAATTTTATTAACCTACTGCCCACTTACTATTTCAATGGTTCTGAAGAATAAGTAAAAGAGACGTGGTATTTTATGCTCTCATCACATCTGTATTAAATTTGCTCTTTGCTTTTGTTGATGTTGGGTTTGTTTTGTACAATTTGTTTTGTACGATTTTGAAAATATCAGTTCATATTTAGACTTTCAGACAAAAATATTTTTCCAGATTAAACCGGAATACACTTAATTCTGTTTTTTCATGGAATATAGATTGGTTCTAGAAAAAACCGTGTGAAAAAAGACGTTGATCAATCCCCTAAATTTGTGCTTTTTATAATTGCTCTGACCAGTCAATTTGGAACTCCTCTTAATTTGTGATATGAACATATTTTGCAAAAATTAAATCTGACCAATAAAATATAAGCCCACAAAAATATTAGTCGTGTTAAATGGAATATAATCGTGTAAAAAATTAAAAATTCTTTTATTTTCAAACCGTGTAAAAACAGAATTAAATGTATATGAACAAAGGAATATCAAGACTTGACAGTTGATAAGAAAACAGAAACATCTCATTCAAACATTAATTTATCGATCTAATTAATGAAAATATGCTTCTTTTGAAATCTGTTGACTATCATGATTAAGTTTGTGCAATTCTTTTATTTGAAACTTAGAAGTAGACTTTTCGAGCTTTGGCGGCAGCGAATGCGTCGATAATAGTCTGTAAACCCAAATTCTTGGCTAATTCTGCTCCTAGGCACACTATAGCTAGTCCAGAAATCCTGCCTTGTGACAAGCATGATCGATGAAATTTTTGATCCTTGCTAAAGCACTAAACGAAAATTCACCACTTGAAACAGAAACGGGTAAAGTGCAAAATATTCTTAAAGCAATGCAAATATTTGAGATAAGTCTTTTTAATTTTTAGTTTGATTGATGGCATTCCATAAGTCGTATGGAGTAAGATGGGTTACAAAATTTGCATCGTAAACGTGTCTGAGATGAATAGCTTCATTGGACAACTTATCCGATACACAAACATAATACTTTTTCGCAAAATTTTTTGTAGCTGCGTCGAGTTCATCTTCTTTCAAATCATGGAACTGCCATAGAAGTCAAGTATGACGCTGAAAGTGTTTCTTTCAATTTGCATACACTTTTTCATGTACGTTGTATCCGTGTTCCATCATCCAAAGACACCAAGGTCATCATATGATTTTGCCATTTTTTTAACAGAGACGACAATATTTGTGCAAGGTTTTATTCCAATATCTTCATTGGTTCTTCACCTACATATATACATACATATTTTATATGCATCCCCCTTCTAACCTATTTTGCCTTAACAACAAAATTTATATATATAATTTATTAGAACAAAAACCACTCATGTTCAAAGTTTAAAAGTTGAAATTAAAGCAATTAAACTTCAGATCAACCCAACTCTTTTTTGGTATTAAGAACTTGGTGTTGCCAACCTTAAAAATGAAGGTTTGAAGATAAGTAAGCAGCTGAAAATTTTTAAACGAAAAATAAAAAAATTCAATTCAGTTATTGCTTACGAAAAGGTGAATAATTATTAAAATGAACATTAGTTTTGATGAATATTACGATGACAAACTGCGCATAAAAAAGGGCCAGTCAGTCAGTTAAATACATTTGAAATCCCTAGCATCAAGTATCAAGCTTAACTGACAATTAAATGGCTTTTAAATAAGGTTTGTTGTAGGTTCAAAAGTTATTTTCATTTAAAAAGCTGGCGCAGACTACCTACTATATCTAATATATGGTTGTTAAGAATGTTTTGAATGTTATGAACATCGTATTTTTGCGCATCGTAAATTGTTTACTATATACATTTTTATGGGGGTTGACGTGGTTATAATGAGTTTCCAAGCAAGTTTGGTTGATATAGCTTTAATTATTTGTGAAATGTGTACTTTAAATACCTTAGGGAGTGGAGCCACTACAGTAATCCGTATTTGCCTCCAACCTTCCCAGAATCATAAGAAACACGAGTATCAAGTATCATCAAGATATATAAATTTTTACTCACGTTATCATTTGCTCTAACAGACGGACGGAATACATCTGGAATAATCCGGAGTGCAGTGTTCTGACATGTCTGAAGCTTATTCGTCTGCACTACATCCAGGCGACCATATCGGTGCGGCGTAGTTTAAGACCGACCGGCCGATTGCCATTCATTTTGCCAACAACGTTTCTTTGTCTTTTTCCCATAAGCTACCGGCAAGCGGCTGGAGGATTTTGTTGCGGCTCTATACTTTGGCAGTTATCGCGGTCGTATGAGGAGAGAGAAGGAGCAGTTCAGTTCGTGAATATGATCGTAGGAAAGATAGCCGTTTACTTTTGAGCATATGCCATCGATTCCATTGCCCGACGTCAATATCGTGCAATCATCAACGCACGATTCATGGAAATTCCCTCTGGTGGATGGGGAGTTTTGAGGTATAGAAGTTAAACAGTAACGGGAGAAGACCCCACCCTACCGAACCCCCTATTTAATTATTCTCAGCTTGGAATTTTTACCTCGAAACGAATGAATGCCGACCACATAATTAATTTATAGTCCACCTCTTCAACCTGGAGCGGCTTTTGGTTAGGTCATGTACTATCTGGGCGTTTATGACGCTAAATGCTGTAGTGGTGCTGTGCACTTTTTGGAAGTCATGCTGGTGGTCTGCTAGACTCAGATGGGCTATGAATGTTGGGAGTAGCAAGGCCTCAAGAGCCTTCGGACGATAAGACCTTTGTTGGCGGGATTCCCAGTTTTCAGTAGTAGGACCACTCTTCCGACTTACGACACATCGGGTATTTGAAGAGTGCAGGGTCAATAGATTTGGACGATTTTGCCTTGTTGATGACAACACAGGGATAGGTAATGCGGCGAAGGTACTCTCGGTAAATTCTGTGAAGCCGGCCCAGTTTGCTTTGTTAAGTTTACAAAAGTGCGGTTGTTCACAAAAATAAAATCGGGGGGTTTCTCGATCGATATAATAATGGGAAGATGGTCTGATGTGGGAGATGGCATAAGTTATGCTACTTATTAGACCACCGCTAGCGATGGTAATATGCGGAGAACTATTACAGGTGCCCATTATTCTGGTGAGGGCTTCGTCATTCATTGTGCAGAATGTCGAATCATCTATCGGTTCCATCTCCATCTTCCTATGATTGACAAGCAGGAGTGCCAAAGGTCGTGGTGCGCGTTAAAGTCGCCTAGCGCCAAACGGTTTTCGACACGAAGTGTCGTATTTATACTCTGACATTCAAGAGTTTTTGTTGTTGTAGCGGCAGAATTCTGCGGCGTTGACAGTTATTGACCGCATGAATTCCGGGTCCGTTCCAATTACGTAAACCAGACTGTCGTGCTTGCTGCTAAGAAATTCGGCATTCCTTTACATTTTAAAATTACATGAAGCGTGCAAGAATGTGATATGAAAGAAAATGCAGAAAATGGTCTGACTCAAGTGAGCGACACCAAATAAAAATTTGGCTATAATGAGCGACAAAAGAGTGCCCGTCTGAACGTCATCTAAATGGTTCAAATACGATTCCAACCGCTGTACTTTGTTGGTGCTTTCAAAGAAATGTAAACAACTTCGATATACCACTCATCGACTTTTTGTGCATATACAGATATATTCAAAAAAAATTCAAAGCAAGCAAGTGCTCATTTCTGATTTGTTTGAAAGTGTCTATAAGAGTTTTAACACATGGGAAAAAAGAATAAACGAAAGGGTCACCCAAAACCACATTATCGCGGAAAACCACTTTGGCAACTGTTGGAAAATTTGCCAAACTATGGCGTTGGGCGGCTAATAGTTCGTGGCTCCTTTCAGCAGGATGAAGAGCATCCTTCTTACATGCGTATACTGACTGTAGATATGACATCAAAATCAGTAAGTTGCTTTTGATAAACGAGGAGTTTGCTCACTATTTCCCTTTTAACAGATAAAACATCCCGACAATCCAAAAAATGCTAACAAAATAAGAATCCCGGTTACTGTGGAAAGAGTATATCGTGGAGTAATTTTCCCACGACCATGTAATATCCAAAGTACCAGCTATTTAGCTGATTTCATACTTGTTCCTGAAGCAGAAGAAGAAAAGTTCGTGCGTAACTCAAAGACTTCAAGTGAATGTAACTACGTATATTGGACAGCTGGTCAGAAGAAGAGGATAAGGGAGAGAATAGGTCAAGGAATGACGCCGGAAGAAGCTAAACAGAGGGAAAGAGAAATAATGGCCAGAGAAGAGGCTGAAAAAAATGGATCCACCAGCAAAGAATCTTATAATCAAAACCAATCTAACTTTGAAGATAATTTTGATGATGACGTCGATGAAGAATACGAATCTTTTGGCTCCAAGAATTTTTCTAAAGACCAAGTTCAGAAAAGTTCAACCGCCGCTAAAGTAACAGAACAAGGGTCAAGTTGCTGTTCAAAAAGAAGCTTTTCTCATAAAACTAATGAAGTTAGCGCAAAATTAACAAAATATAATTGAATCACCCTTATTAACTTAAAAGCTTCATACTATACATTATTTGGTTAATTTATAAATATATGTACATATTTGAATATGTATTAATTGTTATTTGAAGTAAGCGATTTGGTCAGACAGAAGCTGATCTCAAATATCTATTGTGAAAAAAAGCAACCGCAAAATTTACTTACAACAAAAAATTCAACCTCATTAATTTTAACCTACATATTTTTAAAATAATTAATAATATTAATTTTACAATAAGAGTGATTAAAAAAACACAAATTGTTAAGGAATTACACTTAGTTGGTTTAACAACTCTTATTTAAAAACTACTAAAAAAAAGTTTAAGAATACCCGCTTTTCCTGTTAGAACTTTGAATATACATACTCAAGCAAACCACAATTTCAAATATGTTTACAACTTAATATATTTTGATAAGGAAGTACAGTGCGCTTATAAGACACCTTCATATAGCTTTGGACTGGCTGGAGTACCTAACCCCATAGTACATTCAATAGTCGGCTTTTCACCCTCTTTAGCCAGTCGTGCTAGTTTATTGTGATTTATCTTATGATGAACTTTCATTATTGGTTCTTTTACACCAGTTTCCTGTCGAATAAATTCGCGCAACAATGGAGGAAACTCAATACTATTTGCTAATATTTGTTCGGACACATTTTTTGTGTTGTTGGTATATTTCGCTTCTTCTTCTTTGGGGATTAACTCGTAGTCCGGCTTATAGGTGGTACTGTATAGAGTGACTGGTTTTGGATTAATTACACCTCTCCACGTCTTTTCTACCGTTACTGCCACTTTACGAATTGGGTCCGTAGCAGGCTATAAAAGAAATTGTACTATCTTTAGCAGAAGGCCTTAAGTTAAATATGTTTGTAGTTTAACTAACATCATGCGGTGTAACCTCCACTTTAAGTATGCGCATATAGCAAGGCTCTTCATATCGTTGGAACATGTTACGTATTATCAGCCGGCCAACTCCGTAGTCGCGCAGATTGCCTATAATCTCCCACAGACTCTTGCCACGAAAATCGGTTGTACGTCCTATATATTTAACTGCGCTCATTGCTTTATATTATTTAATTCCAATATTTTAGCAACAATAATTGAAAGATGTGATTATGAATTAAAATACCTGCACTGCGATGTGAAACAGCTGTTTCGGTATTAAAATGCTTGAACGTACTCCCACCCAATGCTGACGGTGCTGCCAATCGAAAAGATAAAAATAAAACCGATACGCATGCTTTCTTCTTATGTTTTTCATGTTTATTTTTCTAATAGGAGAAGACAAGTTGTTTTTATACCCTGAACAGAGTATATTAAGTTCGCCATGAAGTTTGTAACATCCAAAAGAAAACCTTATATACGCGAACACCCTTAATTATATTAAAACTTGCACACGTCTTTTTCTCACCAAGAATTTGCTCATCTGTCGGAACCGCCAATATCGGACAACTATAGAATTAAACTGGACGAGATATCTTCACAAATTTTTGCATGGATTATTTTCCAAGGCAACTTTACAATCTCGGAAGAAATTATTCAGATCAAAATACCATTTTGCTGACATTCAAACTGATCAATCAAAATAAATTTGATAGACCAAACTAACTATATTTTAGTGATGAAATCGAACTGAGAACGTCTGAATTGAGATTTAAATATTTCCGTTTTGTATATATTATGCAAAAAATTGTTTCGTTAATCGTTATTAAAGGTCATCTCAAGTGAACATAGTAAAAATGCTCAAATGCGCTCAATTTATAGAGAGGTTTGTGAATTTTTGTTATTCATAAATATATTATCTTATTTATTTTCTTTGCATAACTTGTTTGTTCATACATTCTACCAAAATGTATATTTTGGTAAGTATATAAAACTACCTTACAAAATGGAATGTTATTTAATTTGAACTATGTATGTAGTTTTACAAAATGACTGCTTGCATTGTTCTAATTTAAGCTAATACTAAATAGAATTTTATAGATTTGTGGCTCATGTATGTCGCAGTCTTGCTTATTTAAAACATTGGTCTGTGTCATTCTCTGGACTCCATAAACCTTAGTTTTCTGGTTAGGTTATCCACTTCCAAACCTAATACATCTAAATTTTCCTGTAGAATAGACCACATCATATTAGCAAATATTTCTAAGTGATTTATTTTTTTTCTACCTTTAATGTTATATTTTTGAGCAAAGTATCTTCAAGTACTGCCTGCAGTTTCTTATTTATTTCCAGTGACAATTCTAATGTCATACTCTTGGTGTCGCCTTTAATGCCATTGTATATAGCTGACATTACACCATTGCCATATTTAGCCAAGTCAGACTTGTTTTGATCACTTCTCGTTGAGGTAAGTGCTCCTGCTTGATCGCGCAGCATATAATACTGCACGACTTTAGACTTTTTCTGCAGCTCTGCAACAAGAGAAAGCGTGTGATTTTCCAAAAAATCTATTTTTTCCGTTTGTCGCGCCGAAGCTTGCTGCAGACGCAGTATGCGATCAACTAAGTGTTTTTTGGAAGGACCCTAAAGAATTATTATTAATATTACCATCGCAAAATCATCATAATATTATTATGAGAGGTACCTGTAAATCTTGCTGGATGGTCGTAACGCTACTGGCCATTGTTTCCGACTCGGATGTCTCGCTTGGCCGACGACTTGTGCTCGCTTGACTACTTTGGCTGCTGGTACGGCTATGCGAGCGATTTGGCTTTGCCGTTGACGCAGTTCCATTTTCATCAAACCCATTTGATAATGGCACATTGGATTCCGCACTACTCAAAATACTTTTACATTGCGCGCAATATTGGCATACATTAGCATTTTCTAAAGTTGTTGAATGCGCCATCGACTTTTTGTACTTTTGTAATTCACGTTGCAGTTCCTTTTGAACATATTAATGCCAAAATTTACAATGTTTTATAAAATAAATTTCGTATTTTGTATGGTATTACCTTTACAACAGTCGCATGTTTATGCTTTGTCGCTTCGAAATCGCCTTCAACGTTTTCCAATTTACTTTTCGTAACTTCATAAAGCTTGGTCTTCTCTGAAAGATGTTTAGCAAATAATTGCCTTTCTTCCAATTTTTTTTCGAACTCAGTTTTCAAATCCTCATGCAATTTGCTATACTTGCTATCGTACTCTAATTTCTCTTTCTTTAAAATATCATTTTCTGCCCTAATGCCTTGAACCTGAAAAAATTTGAAATGAAATTTGATTAATTTATAACCCAGCAAATGTTCTAATTCATTATTATAATAGCACATGTGATACAACAAAGCTGTTTGACAACAATTTAATATAGCCTCGGTGGCGCAGTAGGCAGCGCGTAAGTCTCATAATCTTAAGGTCGTGAGTTCGAGCCTCACCCGGGGCATATAATTTTTTGGATTTAAATTATTTCAAGAATTCACATAAAAAAAAGTTCAAAGTGAATTATTCTTCGAATTTCAGGAAAATTCAGATACAAAATATATAAGTATTTGAATAACTTTACAGTTACTAACCTCAGACTTTAGCAAACAAATCTCGTTTTGTAAGGCAACTATTGATTCACTAATTTCCTTATTAATACTTAACAGCTCTCTTTCTCTTTCATGTAACTGACTTAAATCTTGTTCGTTATCTTGTAACTTTTCTTTCATTTCCTCTGCTGAATGAGTGAGTGTGGTGATTTTTTCTTCGTTTCTAAAATAGAACAAATTTTCAAAATAAATTCTATGTAAATTTTCTTATTAAATGTATGTATAAATAATGTCACGTGCTTACAGAGTATTTTGAGTTTTTAGCACCTGAAGCTCATCCAATTGACAACGTAATTTTGCAGAAATCAACATTTCTTCGCTATAAGCATTTTGCAATGAATTGTGATCCTCTTGCAGCTTTTCCAGCGCAGTACAAAGATCCGATCTCTGTAAAATAAAGCAATGCTATTTGAAATATATACTTCTATTAATATTTTATCAAAAATTACCTCCAAAATCTCTTTGCTACACTGTTCTTGTAACGATTTAACTTCCTCCTTTGATTTATTCAATTCCCTGTGCAATTGCTCTAATTGATCTGTTTTACTTTTAATTTCATGTTTTAATAATATCGAATTGGCCTCAAACTCCATTTTTAGATTTTCTTAAATTATGAAGAAAAATTACAAAAAAAAACGTAATTTTTTACAGCATAAAGAAGTATCATTATCTTGATTTTGATCAGCCAGTTTATATGGCAGCTATATGTTCCAGTTGTCCGATTTGAACAATTTTCTTGGAGACTGTAATGTTGTCTACAGCAATAATCCACGTCAAATTTCGTGAAAACATCTTGTCAAATAGAAAAGCCTTTCATACAAGGACTGATTTTTGATTGAGAATTTATTATGCAGCTAAATGCAATCGTCCTATTTGAATAGTTTCTTTGGAGAATTGTAGAATGTACGATTGCGTCGGACAATAAGCAATCTAAAATTTTTTTAAAGTTCAAATAGAAGTGTTCTATAAAAATACTGGTTTTTGATTGATGTTTGTATGGCAGCTATGTTGTTGTTGTAACGGCTATCTAATCTCTATGACAGCTGTATGATATCGGCGGTTCCGAAAAAACATGTGCAAATTTTTAGATCGATTTCTCATAAACTGAGAGTGTTTGGCTTATATACAGACAGACGGACATGGCTAAATCAACTCTGCTTATTATGCTGAACATTTATGTATATTTGTATATATTTTATAGGGTCTCCGATGTTTCCTCCTGGGTGTTAAAAACTTCATGTCAAACTTAATATACCCTCTTCAGGGTATAAAAAATTAAAACAAAGCATATTCACTAAATTTTTATGAAATCACTTACCATTTGCTTTTTCTTCCAATTTATTAGGCGCATTACGTTCTTCATCCAGTTTTTTTTCTATAGCCTAAATATTAAGCAATTTTACAAATAATGTTATATATTTAAAGCACACTGATAACCCACCATTCGTTGTTCTATTTCAATATTTAATTTATTCACATGATATTTAAGCTTCGATTCCAAATGAGAGTAATCGGTTTTTATTTTTTCACACTCGCGTTGATACTTGCGAACTTCGTTGCACTGAATAAATATTATATAATTTAAATATTTAATAACAAATTTCTTTAAAAATTTACAACCTTTTCATCGATTATGTATGACATACGGGACTTCTCTTCGTTAAGCGCTTGAAAGCGAATGGACACATTTTTCACTTCTCTTTTGGCATCAGCAAGCTGTTTTTCAACCGTTTCCTTTTCTTTCTTGGCATCTAATAGTAATTTTTCTTTCATAGCAAACTTAATTACTGTTGATTCTTTTTCTTTATTTGCGAGCTCTTTTTCTTTTCGGAACTGTAATAAATAAACTTTTTGAAATCTGCATATAATTTGGAAATATATATAGTTACAGAATTTTTTTCCTTATCAAGTATGGCATTCTCTCGTTGGAAAAGTGTTATCATGTTATCTTTTTGCGCTAGTGCAGTCTGCAATTGTTCTATTTGCTGTTCATAATTTTGCCGCTGTCGCTCAATTTGCGCTAAGCACTCAATATGTGACAAGCTATCAACTTGTGACCTGGGTGTGCATGGTGAGCTTGGAGTTCCTCCCGTAGATGGTGGTGTTGAAATAATCGTTTGTGGCAAATTTTCGGTATTTGCTGACTGTTTATCAATTGCCTCCAAAGCAACTTCAGTCTCCATAGCTAAACCTTGGTTACATTTTTCATTTTCTTTTGCAACAGCTGTTCCAACCAGTTGCTGCCCTGCAATCGATTTTTGTGTCAGCACCGCTTCAATTAGCTCTTGAACGGGGTGTTCGACCTTTGGTATGACCATGTCTTGTGCCACATTTTGCAACTGCAGATTTGATTGTATCTCCTCCACTTCATCCCTTGCGATATTTTCGCTACCATGTTCATCAAGATTTTCTCCTTGTTGCACACTGTTTAACGTTGCTTCCATTTTTTCGTCTAGCGTGCTCATTTTTACTTAATCGACACCATGCATTTTTTACAAAAATTTGTTTATTTAATTATGTTTTCGCGAATTCTTCACCGATTTCTTTTTCATGTTTACGCGTCATGTATTCCCATAAGTGCTCCCATTAACTTTTTGCCAACAATAGTGCATTTTTTTATGGCAAAGGCAGCACTGAAAACCAGCTGTGTGTATATAGTGATGTCATTACTTTGGTTACAGC